CTTGCAGAGAAAAAGGAACACTTTTATACTGTTGATGGGAATTTAAATTAGTTCAACCATTGTGAAAGACAGCATGGTGATTCCTCAAAGACCTAGAAGCAGAAATATGATTTTACCCAACAATCCTATTACTGGGTATCTATCTAAAGGAATATAAATCATTGTATTGTAAAGATATATGCATCTGTATATTCATTGCAGCATTATTCACAATAGCAAAGACCTGGAATCAACCCAAATGCCCATCAATGATAGACTGGATAAAGAAAATATGGTACATATACACCATGGAACACTATGCAGCCATATACAGAAATGAGATTGTGTCCTTTGCAGTGACATGGATGGAGCTGGAAGCTGTTACCCTCAGCAAACTAACACAGGAACAGAAAATAAAACACTGCATGTTCTCACTTATAAGTGGGTGCTGAATGATGAGAACATATGGACACATTGTGGGGCACAATACACACTGGGGCCTATCAGGGGATTGTGGGGGAGGGAGAGTGTCAGGAAGAATAGGTAATGGATTGTGGGCTTAATATTAATACTTAGGTGATGAACTGATCTGTGCAGCAAACCACCATGGCATATGTTTACCTGTGTAACAAACCTGCACACCCTGCACATGTACCCCAAACTTAGAATAAAAGTTGAAGAAAAACAAAAAGATCAGAAAAAGTTTGACTAGCCCTGCCCATCTCACTCTGCTGAGGCATTCAGAACATGATCTAATATTCTTCAGATGGAAAAGAATAATTTGCTCCCTTCCAGAGTTTACTGAACTCAAACAGGCTTACAACTCCAGTAGAATCAAAGAGGCATATATTTGCATGCAATTTTTTTTTTCCAAATCAGAAAATATTGGCACTCACACTAAAGACTGAATTTTCTGCAGGTTTTATGACAGATGGCCCAAGCAAGCAACACTGATGCTGACCACAGCAAATGCTGGCAACAGGATCCCAGAGCCAGCGTGTGGAGGTGAGCATGAGGAGCCCACATTGGCTCCGCCCCACAACCACAGTGGCCTCCTTTTTCTGTTGGTGATGAGAAGGTTAAGGGTTTTTCCTGTTTTACAGGTGAGGAAATTCATGCTTAGAAGAAATCCATGCTTGAGGAGCATGCCCAGGGCCCTCTGCTAATACATAGGCTACAACGTAGGTATGATTTGTGCAATTGTCTGTGGCTCTATTGGCTCAGATATTTTATTCTGAGGAATAAGTTTAGGCTTCTTAGGGGTCTGTCTGAGGGCTGGAATACATTTGCCACTGACACTCATTGGAATAAGTGAAACAATCAAGATGTGTGAGTAGTTTCTTTTGGAGGCGCTGTGAGCTAAACCATGTCCCTCGCTACATTCATACCTTGAGTCCTAAGCCCTAGAACCTCAGGATGTGGCTGCATTTGGAGATAGGGCCTTTGAAGAGGTGATTAAGTTAAAATGAGGTCATTAGGGTGGGCTCTAATCCAATATCCTGCTATTCTAAGGACACAGATCCAAACAGAAGGGAGACCATGTGAGGACACAGGGAGGAGACAGCTGTAAGAAACATGGTTGTGTTTGGTCAAGGGTAGGCTGAGGTAAGCATCCAGAGTGACTCAGCGAGTTTGGAGTGCAGGCATATAATTCCACCTGTTATCACATCCATGTAGCCACAATATGGGAAGGCCATCCTTTGGGCCTATACCACTATTGTCTGTAAAAGGTATAATTGCCCTGCTGACACTATATAGGTTCTTTCACGCTGGCACCCAGAGAAAGCAAGAAAGGATCAGAGCCATCCATCTGCAAGACAGACAGAGGGGAGCCAGGACACAGCTTGAACTCTGGCGCCCAGAGAGAAAAAGAGTTAAGCTGCTGACCCTGAAGGGAGAGCCTGCCGTGCAGCCATGTGCGGGAATGCTGGACTAAGCAGCCAGGACAGGTGGATGGTGTAAGAGAACTAGCATGAGTCAGCTGCTGACGAGAGAGCTACATTTCACCTGCCTACAGTCCCCTGAGTGTTCTTCCAGCTATTTGCTCATCCACCTACTCCCTTTGGACCTAAGCATGAGCTGGGACCTGACCCTGGGCATGATAATTGGTGTAGTCATGGACCTGACAACAGCCATCTACGAGCCAAAGAGAGGGGCCTCAGAGAAACCAACCCTGCTGACCCCTTGCTGTCAGACTTCTAGCTTCTAGAATTGTGAGAAAATTAATTTCTGATGTTTAAGCCCCCTAGTCTGTGCTATTTTGTCATGGCAGCTCAAGTAGACTACCGTAGCTCTTGATTGTGGCTGAGCTGGCTTTCAGGAGGGAGGGAGGTCAGAAATGGTTCATTTATGGCGGCTACAGCACATACGCGTTGCTCTGGTGGGCGGGAGTGGGTGGGGCTGGGGTGGGCTGGGGTTGGGGGTGTGACTCAGAACTTGGTAGCCTTGCATTTCTCTGGTGCACTGATCATCGCTCACAGCAGCCCCTGAGCCCAGCTCTCCGACCTGCTAAGCTCCTCCACAGAAGGAAATTAACTGTGGCTACCTTCCCAGGCTTGGGTCAGAAGGCTGACGTTTCACAAAATACTAAACACAGGTGCCTGCCCAGCATCTCCCTCGGTGTATCCAGACTGGGTGCTCCTGCTCCGATGAAGGTTCATCAACAGTCACACCTGCAATGTTTCCTGAATGATCCCTGAAAACCCAGATACCCTGGAGATACCCAACCATTCAGGAACTGTTTCCAGAGGGGATTTGTTTGGAAAATACCCACAGGCATTAGGAATGGCTCATAAATGACAGAAAAGAGAAGCAAGAACAAAGCAAAGAATTGATTCTGGTTTTTATAAATACAAAAAATTACATAGGTTTGGAAGTGGGGTGGCTCTCTGAGCTCATGCAGGTACTACCTCCTAGCTTAGGCAGCAGTGGAGTACCGTGGGCACACAGCAAGCGCTCAATAAACACTATGCTGAAGTGGCATGCTGGTGCTGTTAATGCCCAAACTGTGGCAGGTAAGCAAGGTCTTTCACACCTCACACCCCCCAAGTGGCTCAGAAGATAGTGGCCTGCTTCTCAGATATACAAATCTCAGTACTGGGCCATGTGACGATGCTGGAACTTCCCTATGTAATTTATAAATGTGATGGGGGAACTGTGTTGACAGAAGCAGTTTGAAGTTAACTTTTGCCACAATAATGACGATTTTACTGACACCTGGCTCTGCTGGCTTTGAGCCAAACTGTAAAAAGCCCCTTAAGGTTTAAAGTCAATTGAAAAGATAGCTTGTTATGTTCTGACTGCAGCCACATGAAGGTGCTCCAGGATGGGAGTAAATAAGTGTGGGACCTTGCCTAATTCCATGGCCCACGGAGCCCCCAACAGCATTTATGTTTCAGAAATAGAGTGGTTGTTGCTAAAACACAGTCAAAGACGCCTTGAGAGTTACAGGGTATGGCAGCCTCCTAACTCTGAGATGGGGAGGCTGTAGCAAGTGATTGCTGGAGAGCAAAGACGAGGAAGAAGTGGTGAGATGGAGAAACTGGGTTTGATGCTGGCTGTGGGACCTGGGCTGACCATGTCTACTTCCTGAACCTCCTTTCCTGTAAAGTAGCAAGGATCCGAAACTCCATCTCAGGACGTGTGAGGGTAATGTGGGCACAGAAAGCCATGCATGGGGGAGGGAGGTGGCACAGAGCAACTGCTCCGTAACTGTGAATGCAGGAACAGCCGCCATGCAGGCTTGCAGCTGGGGTGGCTGGGGCTTGGAGTACTGTAAATACAGATCTTCGGCTCACCCAAGCTGGTAGCAGAATCTCTGGGATGTGTTGGGCTTGGCACTAGTAACTTAGCAGGAAGACTGAACTGAGTTGCAGTGTGCACTGGAACTATTAGGTGGAATTTGTCTTACATAGTAATTGTCCAGAATAGTTGGTGAGGGGAGGAGGACAGGATTGAAATAGCCCCTGAGAATGGATGGTGATGTATCTGATGGAGTCTCACCTTCTCCGGGTGGTACCACCTAGTACCATGGGCAGCAGGGAGCCCTGGTGGGCATTTGAGCAGGGAAGTTTCATCTTCCTTCTGCAAATGCTTCTGGGCCCCTTGCTCTGTGCAAAAGGCTTGCAAAGCTCTTGTCTTTTGTGCTCTTGCTCCCAGATAACCCTCTGATCTCATCCTGTGTCTCACCCATCTTCCTTGCTCACCCTGTTTCAGTCATACAGGCCTCTGGGCGGTCTCTTACACAGGCTAATATAGCTCTGCCTAAGGGCCCTTGCACTTGCTGTTTCTCTAGCCAGGACTTCACCATTCCCAGACCACTCTGCTCCCTCACTTCACCCAGGCTTCTGCTCCACTGTTACCTTCCAGAGCCCGTCACAGACTGCCCCATCTAAAACAGCACTTCTGCCTCCTTTGCTTCCCCATTCAGCTCCAGGACAGGAAACACAGGCTTTGTTACCACTCTATTCTCATTGCCGAGAATAGTGCCTGGCACACAGCTGGGACTCAACAAATATATGTATTGAATTAATGAGTGAGCAAGTGATCAGGTTCTTTCCCTACCCAAAAAGAACTCATATCTGATTCTTGAGTATGGGCATTTTCCTAATGATCACTGTCACCCTTGGGACGATGATCCCATTAGCAGTGGTTACGATGATGACAATGAGGATGTCAAATGGGTGGTGAATTGCAGTGTACACTGGAACTATTAGATGGAATTTGTCTTACATAGTGATGAGCACATCGCAAAAATGATAAGTAGGTTGTAGATTTGAGTTACTAGCCTAGGAGTCCTTGCATACCCTCAGCAATGGTTAGCCCACGCCCTCTGAAGTAGCCCATAGCATTTAGAGCAGCTCTAGGAAGGTTCAGGAAAGAGAAAGGGATGAAAGGTTTTGCCCGAAGCATTGGAAGTTTCCAGTTGACGGGAGAGATCAACCTCTGCTCTATGAATCACCCCTCGCAGGCTACAGAATCAAAGGGAATCCCAGGGGCAAAAGACTCCTTGTCACTCATACCTGAATGAATGGGAAGAGGAGCCCAACAGCAAAGTTGGAGAGCCAGTTGACTGTGCCTGCGATGATGAAGGCAGCCGGCCGCTGAGATTGCTGGAAGAACTCACCCGTCAAGATGAACGGGATGCCACCTGCAATGTATGAGCCAGGACACAGAGTTAATCACTCTGAGAAGGTCATGCTTCCAACATCCATCTCCATCTGCCACACTTTAGAGCCACCCCCGCAGCAGGGGAATGTTCTTTCAACAGGAGCTGATTCTGCCTGTCTGGATGACAGCTCTAGGAGGGTGCGCTGGAGTTAGGCGACCCTCAGCCCTTCAGCCCTCAATGTATAAAAGCCACTTCTCTGACCTGTCTCGTCCAAATGAGAGATTCATCATCCTCTTGGCTCTCCAAATGCCCTCCAAATCACTCTGTGACCCATCACAAATTGAATACTGTATGTATCAATTTGATGTGTAAGGACACTGACATTTACTGACTGTCTTGTGCTATGAATGTTTACAATTAATATTCAGAATAAGTGAGTCAGGAAGGTATTGGCTATCATATCCCTGGGCGAGAAAACTGAAGCCTGAGGAGGTTACTTGATTTGCCAAAGGTTACTCCACTCCTGAGTAGCAGAGCACAGATTTGGAACTCTGGCCTCCAAATTTTGGCCTTTTTTTTTTTTCATGCTAATCCTTGCTTGAGAGAGGACAGAAGTGCCTGCCCAGCTTGGTACCTTTGGTCTCCTTCATGCCCCTTGACTGAATGTGTAGTGGGCCCCAGTTCTGGAGTTGCCTTTGTGGCTCAGCGTTACTCAGTGGAGACATCATTGACACTGGGGTGGGACAAGTCTTGATTTCGAAGACTGTCCTGTGCAATTGCATGGCATTTAATTGAGGGCACGTATTACCCTTTACTTTCTGATGCCAGGAGAGCCTCCAGTCACCACCACAGCCCAAACCACCTCCACAGATTTCCAAACCCATACGTGGTCTGAGGTCTGTACCCTTCCATTCTTCCATGTCCTGTTCAGTGAGACCGGCAATCGTACCCTGTGCCCAGACCAGGACCTGGGACTCAGCATGACTGCTGGGATCCCACTGTCCCCTCCCCATCTCCAACTGGAGCCACCAACGAGATCTATACCTGGGTGTTTCTCAGACAAGACAGTGTGGGCAAAGGATGGGAAATCCCTCAGGGACTTTTACCAAACTCTAGAGAGACACTGAACACAATTTGGAAATCACTAGACTAGAGCTATTCATTGTGTCAACATCTAACAATTACATATGTGCTGTGGCTGTTCCAACAGTGAGGTCAAAGGCATCACGAGCTTGTTTTCATGGGAATCCCTTGTCTGCTGGGATGATTTGTTCATTAAAAAGGGAGTGTGGCCAGGAGTGGAAAACCAAATATCACATGTTCTCACTCATAAGTGAGAGCTAAGCTATGAGGATGCAAAGGCATAAAAATGATACAATGAGGGCGTGGGGGCTCATGCTTGTAATCCCAGCACTTTAGGAGGCTTAGGTGGGTGGATCACCTGAGGTCAGGAGTTTGAGACCAGCTTGACTAACATTAGAAACCCTGTCTCTGCTAAAAATACACAGATTAGCTGGGCATGGTGGCACATGCCTGCAATCCCAGCTACTCAGGAGGCTGAGGCAGGAGAATAGTTTGAACCCGGGAGGCAGAGGTTGCACTGAACTGAGATAGCACCACTGCACTCCAGCCTGGGCAACAAGAGCGAAACTCCATCTCAAAAAGAAAAAAAAGATAAAAGAATGACACAATGGACTTTGGGAACTTGGGGGGAAAGGATGGGAGTGGGTGAGGGATAAAAGCCTATAAATTGGGTAGTGTATACCGCTTGGGCGATGGGTGCATCAAAATCTTGGAAATCACCAGTAAAGAACTTATTCATGTAACCAAACACCACCTGTTCACCAAAAGCCTATGGAACTAGATAATAAAAAGGGAGTGAGCAAATGAATAAATAAAGATAAATACAAAATGTGATCAGCATTCTGGAGGGGATGCGCTATCTATTTTGGCAGTGGGTGGGGAAGGGTGTTGTGAGGAGGAGATGGAGGAGATGTGGATTGAAGAAGGAGATGCAGCTCCTGAAGATCTGGGGAAGATCATGCTGCGTGCAGGGAGGAGCTGGCAGAGGACCTATGGGTGAAAGAATTGGGCCAAGGTCTACAACAGGAGCCAATCATCCAGACACCTGAAGGGGTGAGAGAGCAAATGTGAGCAGGGCCAATGAAGCAGCCTCTTGTAGGTCATGGAGAAGGGTTCACAGTTGAAGAAAGCCTCTTCTGGCTTCTATGCAGCAGTTGAGGTGATCGATTTGCATTTCATAGAGGTCACTGCTGTTTGGAGAAAAGCCTGGAAGAGTGTAGGAGTGGATGCAGAGGGCTGTCAGGGCAGTCCAGGGAGGAGGCAATGGTTGGCTGGCTTTCTTTCTTCCTTCCTTCCTTCCTTCCTTCCTTTCTTTCTTTTTATTTCATTCAGTCATTCTTTCTTTCTCTTTCTTTTCTGTCTTTCTTTCTTTTCCTCCCTCCCTCCCTCCCTCCCTCCCTCCCTC